CCGCACACCCCTTTTCCTGCGCACGCTGATGTCCCTGTCCCAGAGGCGGTAGGTGTCCTACAGGGGTGTCTCCCTGCCGGGACCTCCATCCAGCCCCGAGGGACGCGCGCAGCCCGCAGGATGAATACGGGCGGCCCGCAGCCAGAACCCGGGACGTCGGGTCGGCCTCTTGTTCCCTCCTGCAGCTGTTCCAAACCCAAATCCCGGTACCGCCCGGGAAAAGGGCGCAGCAGGACCAGGGCCTGGGCTGCAGAAGCGCCTCGCTCCTGGCAGCTGAGTCCCGACGGGGGGAATGAATTCCCAGGCAGGAGAGCCGGATACGGCCTTTACAGTCCGTGTGCTGTCCCGGGGTTCTTTCACCCCGTGTGCCAGAAGCCGATCCACACACACTGCTCTGGGATTCAGCCGTGAAGCCGGAGGGAAGAAGGCGAGGGGATTTTGCTGGGCTGAGCGCAGAAGCAGAGCCTCAGCAGCTATGGGCGTCTGCCTCCACGCTCCACGGGGGCTGCTCGGTCTGAGCCGCGGCTCAGACTCCATCGGGAGATCCCAATGTCACCCTGGCACAGGGAGCACGTCACAGGCCCGGCTGCTGACCACCTGCCCCCACCAGTGCCCTATTCTTACTAGTGCTTCTTTTGACAATTTTCCTCCTCACCACGGATGAGATTTGAAATATCCCCGTGTGGGACATTTGTCTTTGGGCGCTTTAGCTCGTCCTTGAGCATCTAATAAGGCAGAAAGTGTTCAGCAACGGGGAAGGGATACATAAGGACTATAGGAAGCGTGGGATTTTCCTGCTGCTTGTAGGAGACCTGTACACTTGTGACCTAAATGCTTGTAGGAGATGTGTATGATGGAGAAAAGGGTGATGCCAACGCCTCCAGAGAAAGTTTGCTGCCAAGAGATCCAAGAATAACTGCTGTGAAGGACCCCGTGTAGCTCTGTGCAGATGCTGCATGGCGACTTTCCGCGGCCCTGGACCAGGCTGCTCTCCGTGGTAAAGGGCGATGCTCACCCTGTATCAGGGGAATCACAAGTGTCCCCGGCAGGAGGCCGAGCTGGAGGCTCCGCATCTACCGAAATTCTCTTGGCTTCACAGTTCGAGACCTGGAACCAAGGCCTAACCCAGGTGAGAGACCCCTTACCTGCAAAGAACCGCTGCCCGTCACTTGGCAGGGGCAGCACGGAGCGGCCGAGGTGGGGCTTGGGCGCAGATTCATTGATTAATTACCATACCTATGAACTCAGCAACCGCTCAGCAGTTTGGGAAATGAATCTCAGCTTCATTGTCAAAACATGCAGATCTCTGTCCGACGTCTCTCTTACTTCATCCAGAGTTCTGTGAACAGCCTCTTAGTCTCTGGATATCACGGCATGAGCCACATGGTTTCTATCTCCCTCTTCACATATATACAAACACCCTCCACTTATTATAAGATAAAATGTCAGTTAGGGGAAAAAACCAAATAACATCCAGTTGTTCTGCACATTTGAAGGGTTTGTTTATTCTTTGTATGGACACAATTTAGGATGAAGGTGGGGACTTCCATGTGATTTGAGTAAAGTACCCCTTCTACCTTGTAGTTTTTAACCTATATCTTCCACTAGTAATTTGTGACTATCAAAAGAAAATAATTTATGTATTAGAAATCCCACTCCTGCTAAATATAGTTGCAAAACCAAATAATTACAATGTTGTGAATGGAAAAATTAATTTAAAATAAGAAAATAACTGCAGTTGAATTATTAATGTGTTGGTGTTGCAAATTTACAATAATTTTGTATTTGCACAGTTACAGCGATGTAGAAAGTACAAAAAATACTATCAAGACCAGCTTCCTATACTAATAACTGTACAACTTCCTCTTAAAAAATTGTGCATATTTTCTTCAGTTTAAAATTTCTCTGCCTATTACCTTCAGTATTTCTATGCCTACATGCATAAAATACAATTTCTCATTCGCAAACATATCTGAACATTCTCTTCAGAGAAAAAAATTGTGAAAGAGATAGAATTAAATTGAGAATATGTAATTTAAATGATAAAAATGATTTTTAGTTTTTCTTTCAGGAATGCTTTTTTTTAAAAGTCAGATTTAGTTTTTGTGCTTGTACTGCCCAGTTTGTATTTTCTTTGAATGTACAGGTGCACACTGAATTTAATCTTCTTTAGGTGTATGTGTCTGTCTATATGCATGCAAGCGCCCACTCGCTGGGTTAAGGGACAGGTGTCAGGACGTGCAAATTCATTGGCAGTGGGGAAAGGAATTTGCAGACTCTGGGCTCCGTGTTGAGGATCGGCAGGAAAGCCGAGCGCAGGGAGTGAATGACTTTTGCTCCAAGGGCCCGGCGGTGCGGTCGAGTGGGACTCCCGCCGTGACACTGTAGGACCGCATGGGACTTTCCCCGCACGAGCATCGCTTTCCATCCTCCCCAGGTGACACCCACCCAGCGCCAGCTCAAGGCGACCACAGGAACGCTGCGTGAGCCTGTTCCCTGTGCCCCGCTCTCCCAGCGGCTATTTCCCTCTCACCGTCCCGGGGATGCGGCTCCCGCTTTTTGCACCCGGAGAGAGGGGACGCAGTGAAGCGATATCGGCTGTGAACGGGGTAAAATCCGCGATCACTCGGGGTTTTATGGCTTCGGAGAAGGCAGCTTTTCGGAAGGAAAGCTGTACACTGGATAGTCTCACGTTGTGCACCCCATCCCTCACCTCCAGCTGGAGCATCCCTCGGAGAGAGGAGCAGCGGGTGAGGCATCGGGACCGTTCTGCTTTGACTCCACGCACCATGGTGCGGGTGCTGCTCATTGCTCTGCTCCGCGGGAGAGGAGACCCCGAGCCCCGGCTGCCGGGGAGCGGAGAGAGCCTCCGGACCGAGAAATGTTCCCGCTTTCTGTCCCGGCGGTAAGGACACCGGAGTGCGACAGCCCTGTCCCATTGCACTATCCATAAACAGCTGCGTATATAAATAATAGAGAGTGGTGTGTGTAAATACACGTGTACACGTGTGGGTGTTTCCGGCATTAGTTGTGTTTTACACTAACTGGGACGTTTTTCTGAGAGCGAGAAATTTACCGGAACAACCCGAGCAGCCTTTGTCCCGGCTCCCGAGCTGGTGCTCCCCGACTGTGCGCTTCAACCCAACGTGTTTTTTCCTGTTCGTTTATTTTGCTGTTGGTGTGCTTTTGGACTCTCTAAATAAGCTGCTGGTAATATCCCTAAATCCCTTCTGGCGTCAGAAGCAAACGCAGCAAACGCAGGCAGTCCTGCCTGTTTTTCCCATCTCTCCTTGAATTTTTGAGGTGGATGGCAGAGGGGTGGGGGTACGATAACGAGGACAGAGAGGGAGAGAGAAACGTATTTTCTTGAGTCTGGAGAGTGACGCCTCTCCCGGCAAGAGCTGCAGTCCGGCCGGGGCGGCCCTGCTGGGGGAGCCCTCCCTGCTCCGCCTCGCCGGTTTGCCGAGGTGCTGCATGCCTGGAGAGACCAGTGTGCTTCTTCTGGAATATCTCTACACATTGCACCGTACAAAAACGTGGTCTGCGAGGGAAATGGCTCTGCCCACACCGCGGTCCTCGGGGCTATCTGAATTTGGAGGAAGGGGATGCATGTACACCTCTGTTCCTTAGGGAAATTTAGTTTTATTCTCTTGCTAGGCTGATATTGGGAGTGATTAGCGATTTGTAGCGATATTTGTTCCTTCCTGTTCATCAGAGATCTCTCTGGGAGATGCCACCACCCTCCAAAATGTCCCCTGTGTGCCTCTGACACAGGGGACCCCAGAAGGGGCTCAGGGTTGGACCCCAGTGCCCCCCGGCTGTCCCGGACTTGAGGTGTATGTGACCCCCAGCTGCTGTGGGGTTTTTTTTCTCAGGTCTTGGGGAGAAGGAAACAGGTAATGGAAGCACCTTCTCCACGCATCGGATTACGGTCAGCGCGCCTGCCCCATCCAAACCATGATGCTGCAAGCCCTTGGCCCGCCAGGCAGCCTCTGGTCCCGCCCAGAGCTGGGACAAAGGGCGATCCCATTGCCTAGAGGTGGCTGCATCCCCACAGTTCCCGCAGGCACAGCTGTCGCGTTCCCCCTTCTGCCCGCCAGCCCTCCTCCTAAAGGGCGGCTTCTCATTCAAAACTGAGAAGCACCTTAGCAGCTGCTCTCAGATTGCTCTGAGCTGTGGTTGGAATAACCCTTGCTTGGTGAATAGCTGGGGTGGAGGAAAATCTCTGAGTTTAACTGTGTTGGGAATTTTTCACTTTCGTTTCACTGACAGAAACTGGGGTTTTTTTCCCCTTGGAAGGTATTTCAGGCCTCTGTGTGATTAAATTCATCTGCATCATTTGGGATGGGACATTGCAGCAACAGAGAATGAGATTGTGACTTTCTGGTGGGTCATGGCAAGGCTGCAGGCACTGTAATGCAGAGAGTATTCATATGCCAGAGGGTTCTCTCTCACTCACTCCTGTCCTATCTCCCCTCTGACCGTGGAGGTAATACTGGGCTGAGGGCATTGTTTATAACTCCCTTGAATGCTGGAGTCCACCACACAATATTTGAGAATATCTAGGAAGTTGTTAGAGACAGATTCAAATCTTATTCATCTGGCTTATGGTGCCATCTGCTTGAAAGAAGGCAAATACTGCGTTGATAGTGGTGGTGATGATTCCCTTGTTTGCTGTAACACAAGGAAACAAGATTGATACACTCCCAAGGAAGAGGTTAGCTCTTGCTGACAGCAGGTTTCTCTTTTTTCATGCTTCCCTTTGCCAGTCCCAGAATTATAGTTTAACTTTCTGATTTCCCTCTTTCTCTGGTATCAATATTGCACTTGAATGAGATCACAACCAGGCAAGGGCTTCTCTGCTAATGGTCTGTCCTTGAAGCACATTTTTACTTTACTAGCACTCAATACTGTGGAAGTCCTGTAATCCTTCCTGAGACCCAGTGAGTCACCTTGTGAACCACATAAGAAATCTCTGTTTTTTTCTAATCTTTCTTCAGGTCATATTTGTCTCACTGCAAAGATGCAAGCCTGAAAACCTTTCCAAGATCCCTGGGCCAACAATCCCTTCCAGCTGATCGCAGTGCATGGAAAGAAGAAGTCCTCTCAGACAAGCTAGTGTGTTAAAGCACCAAGGTGATCTGCTATGCCCAGCTGTGGCAGAAGGTTGCCTTCCCTGCACTGCCCAGTGAGTGTAGAAGCTGTCTAGCATTGGCATGCCTGGCATTCATGCATGGTGCCCAGCACTAGCACAGTGAAGCCCAGGTTTCCAGGTATGTTCTTTCTGGGCTTATTTCTATCAGCATGTACCAGAGCAAGTAGTTTCTTACTCATCAGTGAATTTCACTCAGTCTTAGTCAGAGAGATGGAATTGGTCCTACAAGAGCAACAATAGCTTTTTATCCGCATCCTTTCCAACTCTCCCTACATGGCCTTCACACCACAATAACAAAGAGAAGCTCCCAGAAAGCAGTAGCAAGTTCAGAGAGATCTGGCTCCTCACCAGTTTGAGTTTTACCAGGTGGTGTTTGCTTTAAGACCTTGAGCTATAAAATATCCATGCTAGTATTGAACTCCTGGGAAGACATAAACCCTTCAATGAAATGGAGAACTAAACACTGTTAAATATACTTATCTAATGGATATCAGTACTGACTTTTGTGCATGCTGCACAATCTGACATGATTCTAACATGAATCTACCTAGTCTCTGCTTTCAGAAACCAAAAATTAAAATGACTTCTAGACAAGTCCCTATATTCAATAACAGGAGTGGATTACAATCTCTCCCACTCTCCTTGCTATTACCCTTCCTTCTCTTCCTGCACTTGAATCTGGACATGAGTGGACATTGAGGAAGAGGTTTTGTGCCTACCAGCAGCCACAATACTTGTGTGAGTACTTCAGCCTGGTGCATGGTGAGCAAGTCAGTCTGTGGGTACACAGCTGATTAACTGGGCACAGCACCTCAGTACCAGCTTGCTCTGTGTGCAGTGACTCATCTCAGGCATTTCTGAAATACTTTTCTGATTTTTTATTCTCTTTCGTTTAGGTCACATCCAACTCCATATTGCAAGGCGCTGAGTAACAGCTCATGATCCCTATCAAGTAATGGCTCCAGGGTTTGTTTACCAACATCCACTGGAGACTCCAGCTTTTCTGTAGAAACAGAAACTGAGCCCAGGCTTATCCAGGTATCAAGCAGTCACATTCCTTGGGGCCTGTAGAGCAAACTGGCCTTTGTGAAGAATGTTTACCATGACTGTGAGGCAGCTGTGTTTAGAGAGTAATTTCAAGAAAGTCAAGAAATAAGCAGTAGGATTTCTATAACACATTTATACCTATTTGTAAGGGAAGAACAGCTGTTCATCAATTGGAGCTTTGCATCCATCACAGGTAATAGAAATGATGAGACTCAAAGTCACACAAAGATGCAGGGAAGTCCTCAGGGTCAACTCTAGCCCAGGTTTTAATTTATCAATTACTTCAGGATCTGTTCCTGAAGCATTAATAGATAATTGGTGTAGTCCTGATCTCTGTGCCCCTGCAAAGTATTCCCTCCCAGTGGGAGTGACATTAGCTTTAGGTTCTTGCTTGTGAGCATTGTGCATGCAGCATGTTTGATTTTTTGCAGCTTCCAGCTTACTAGCTATGGAAAGAGATGCTGTCAGATTTAGGATGCAGGAGAGAGCTAATCACAGAGGCTTCTCCCAGCTTCAGGACAGGAGTAAATTTTGCTATTAACAGTGTCATGTGTGTAAGGAATTCTGCCCATTTTCTTCTAAACTGCAGCACCTTTCCATCCCAAATATCTCCTTTTCCACACCCCCAAGTACCTGATGGAACCAAGTATAGCACATAAAAGAGGACTGAGAAAACCATGAGGAGGCTTATTAAGGATGTGCCTTGGAGGAAGATTTTTTTCCCTACAAAGGCATTGTAGGAAAATGCCTCCGACAGACTTTGGGGTAATCTTCTGAAGCTTATATTAATCACCTCCTTTCAGAGGTGAAACTTTTTTCACCTCCTGTAATTAACTCAAGATTTGACAATTTTCCAGACAAAAATGTTTCAGAAATTTTAAGGTATGAATCGAATTCTTAATATTTCTACCAAATCCTTTGCTTGTTCCTTGCATTTTAACATAATTGACAATGAACATTCTTGTCTCACTATGAACTTATTTTGCTGTTGACATATATTTATGATTAAAGCATGAAGTTATCATTACAGTAAAACTGGTAGAACTGCAAAAATTATATTTACTACCCAAATGAAATATCCAAATACAATGATAAATAAATTAAGTAACTCAGGTAAAAGATTTCTTTTCTCTCTATGAATGCAAAGTGTAATATTTTAGAAGCTGTAGGGCCAACTTTTGCCTTACGATTCACCTGCTGGGTGTTCCAGAGAGGGTAGGAGCTACCAAAAAGTATGAAAAAGGACTTATACTGTATAACAGATGAAAACTGTCTTGTAAGCTCAAACTCTCACAGCTTATGTTTTCACTCTGAAGTTCCTTGAGGCAGTTATTTGATTTTATGAAAGTCCAGTTGGCAAACACGTACATGCAAAGAAGCCACAGAAGCCAGCAGGGCCAAACAGGCATCTGAAGGCAAAATTTCTTCATGAAGTAAAACTGAAAAGAATGTAATTATACTCCCTTACCCCCTCCCACAATGTCCCAGCATCCCCCTGCTGCTCTATCCCTTAAGTAACAGCAGTTCAGGATGTGGTGGAAATACTGGAAGGGAGGAAAATCAATCCACAACTGTTTCTGCAGGGTTTCACTAGGAGGAGCCATACGATGTGTAATGAACGTGCAGAGCTGTTTGCAATTCGTGTACATCCCAACTGCTCCCGGGGCAGCATTTCTGCTACTGCCATTTATCTCTGTAATAAATACTTTTCAAATAGATCAGAAGGTAAAATTCACACAAATTAGTGTGATCCTTTGGTTTCTCAGCATGCTCTTTTTATAGACTTCATTCTGCCACCAAGAGGACAGTAACTCTAATTACCGCTTCACATTCACGCTTCATGTAGGACTGTAGTATTTTGTGAAATGCTTCTATATCTTCCTCTATATTTAGTACAACTGTGAGCACAACTGGGCAATGATTCACCTGTAGTAGAAACAATTATTATTGATAACATTATGGGGAGTCAGGAGTGGGAGGGTGACTTATCACTTGAGTTCCACAGTTCATCCCTAGGGAAAGTAAATTTAAGATACTGAAAATGGCACAGACTAACCCTACTCCAGGTCAGAAAACACTGGGGAAATAAAGAATGAATAATAAAGGGGGACTGCCTTTGGAAGGGCATTTACCTTACTGTTAGCACCATGTTCTTTCAGGAAGCCCAAAAGTCCACGTGGGCACATCCCTGGAGAAGACAGCCCCAGCTCAGCCTCCTGTTTTACCTTTTGGACTGCTGTGTCCCTCTGAGGTGAGTGATGCTGCACGTCTACTTCTAGGTGCAGGGGTAAAGGTCTATAACTCCTTCCCACTTCTGATCAGAATTTTTTCCTCAGGCAATGCTGATCACTTTTCGCAGCAGTAAACCCCAGAGGGCTGGTGGCAGATGGGTGGCAGCACCCTGTGCAGGAAGCACAGCTGTCAGTATCTCTCACCTGGCCAGGCACACAGCCTCCAGTGTCTGAGAGCCTCAAGGCATCTGCTATGCTGTTCAGAGAGGGGAGGGAAACTCTGCTCTTGGAGCGACTCCCAGGGATGGCTAAGGGATATTTACTTGGTGAGCTGAAGCTGTAAGAGTAGCTGACCCTGGGGAGGACCAATAGACATCAGCATCAGGAGCCTTGCTGGGTCACCTTCACCAGCCATAAGAGATCTGGAAGGGCCAGTGAGTTACCCACCAGTGTTGTTCTGCATTTTTTTGTTATAGGAACCACAGGTGAACTGTTCAAAATCCCTCAAGTGTTTACTTTCCATTTCTGTGCTGTATGAGGGGGTCCACACTACATACAGATGTAAGAAAAGAAAAAATAAATATCTCATTTGTATATTTCCGGTGTACACAAAAGAATTAAGTTTCTTGAAAAATTAGAAGAAGTCACACACGTGATTGTTGGAGTATTTTTTTAGGAAATAAATTGCAGGGCTTTTTTCAAAACTAGCATTTAAACATTTTCCTTACAGTGTGTTCCTTGCAAATGCAGGCTCGGGGCTTAGATGTCTCCCTGCTTAAATCTACTCTATTATTTCTGTTTTCAGACAGGCTCCATTGAGATCTCTGTGAAATGAATGATGTGACTTACCAGTATCACACAAGCTGTTCCAAGAATATCAGCAAGGCACTGGAAAATGGCAGGGAGACTGGAGACTTTCCTGAGAAGGTTTTACCCAGTGATGGAAAATATATTTGTGTTATTACTTTAGCACAAGTGTCTTCTATAATGCTAAGGTTTGCTTTCAAATAAAACATAAATTGCACATCTGGTTGGAAGAAATAAATGCAATAGTGCTTCAAAGACTATCTGTCAGGCTTAAAAAGAAAAGAGATGAGGATTTATTGGTGTTTTTATTATTAACATAAAAGCCTTGGGAATCTCAAAATAGACCAGGATTATAGGTAAATATGGGTTCTATTTTCTTCTTTGTTTGCCTTAACATACTATTAGCATCAAGCTAAAAAAGGATCATCTGAATGTTAATATGTTTACTGTGTGCACATGGATATTAGCTTAATCAATACACAGATGCAGAAGACTGTAGAGAAAAGTATGCACTACAAGTGTATTATTCATCTTAAACATTTCAGACAGCCTCTTCATTCTGGAGATACTATTTGCTTAAGAAACCCCACTCTTGATGTGCTTTCTCAGTCTTTCAAGACTTTTGTGAAGCAGTAGTGGGCTGCTTCTGTGCAAAGACTTGGAATGGACATCTATTTGCAAATGAACAAGCAATGAAAGAAGTGGGAGTTTCTAAAGTAGATTACTTATAAAATTAAAATTTGAGGAAGTTTGGGTATAAATAACATGTCCAAATCAGGAAATATTTGGTGGCTTGAAGACATGCACATTAGATTTCCTGCCTGAGCTGCTGATGACTCCAGCCTCCTTTCCAGGAGAAAATTATCCTGTGCAATGCTGGTTAAAGCCTTGCATGAGTCACTCCAAGGTGTTGGAGGGGGCTGTACAAATCCTGGTCCCCACTTTCTCCTAAAAATTGTCTGCAAGAGGTTCAATTTTGCTGTGTCAGGACCAGGTTGAATCTTTCATAGGATTTAAATTAAATCCTTGGCAACCACTTTCTGATTTTATAGCAAAATCTGACCTATGTGTTAAAGTGAGGACATTGTTTTGCTGGGTTATTGCTTAATTACTAAATGAAGAAATATTAAGTACAAATTTAATGACTCATACAATATTTCCAAATGACATGTACTATCAAGTCCCATTTACATCTACCACACTGGTGTTTAACTCACTTTCCATTATTCCTGAGGCTATTAATGTCAGTAATTACAGCAGGTAACATGTCTAATATTGAGTCCATTGTGGAATAAAGCAATGTTGAGCTCCTGCAGTGTGTTTTATATTAAGTACAAAAAGCTTCTGATACAGTTAATGTAACTATAAATCTTAACTCAAATGCTTATATGTCTCGTTTATGACCTGAATAAACTCTGAGGCAGAAGCAGGGCAGCTGAACGGCTGCTCCCTGCCAAACCGCACATTCAGCGGAATATGCACTTACAATATCCTTTTCATATTGAATAATAACAGAAAGACAGAAAACAGGCCGAGTATTTTCTCCAAATTAAGTTGGGTTCTTTTCCAGAACACTGAGTTTAATGGTAAAAAAAATCTCTAAATACACACGACCCTTAAAATCACAAATATATAAATAGAATATAAAATTCAAAATAGTGGGGAGGATTTTTTCAAGTGGGAATCCAGCCTGTGCTTATGATAAGAGGTTTTGATGTGTTAAATATTGAACACCCTGCCACTTGGAGAATGCACATTGCTCTGTCCCTTTGGAGAGGCTCTGGATTGGCCTGGGTGTGGAGGTGGCCAGAAATCACAGTCACCTCTGGAAGAGCTGGCATTCACTGCTGTGTGAGCTGCCAAGGGAAACTGGGCTGTGAGGGCAACCCTTTGGAAGGAACCTTTTGGAAGGCTGTGCTGTAGGTGACTGATAAGGTGATTCGGTCTGACTCTGAGCTCACTTGCAGTCACTGTTACAGCCCCTGAGCAGGAATAGTGTGTGCTGAGAACAAGGTAAGCACCACCTAAAGTCCTGCCAGGGCTCTGACTTCCGATGCCAGCCCCTGTGTGCTGGGGCACCCGTGTGTCCCCAAGCATCAGCACACACTTGGTGAGGAGGTTCAGCCCAGGTGAGGTGAGGTTCAGCACAGGTGCCTGCAGCGTGAGGGCGGCTGTGGCATGGGAGCCTGCAGGATGAAACAGGGAGGGAAATGGTTTGATCCACAAAAAATAAGATTTAGGTTCAAGTTGCACTGGAGATCACAAAATTAGGATCAGAAAGAGATCAACTACCAGAAAGCAGAAACCCTACTTCAATCAATTTTCATCAAAATAAATTCCTTTGGATGGGAAGTTCTCCTAAAGACCTTTGGTACAGTATGACCCTTTAATATTAAGCATGTCAACATTTAAATTGATGATGCTATTTTTTGTAGAGCTATTTACAAGGGGAGTATTTCCCTCTGAATTTGTAATAAATCATGTAAGACATCTTTTCATTCCATTTCCCTTTAGAAAGAAATATTTGGTAGTTTAAAATATTTAATGTAGTGGAAAGTCTAAAGGGAAAAATAAAGCATCAATAGACTATTTCAGCAGCAGAAACCATTTGGGACCTGCTTAACCACCTAAGCTCTTCTCCAAATTTATTTGGAAAGGGGCATATAAAGAGCTCATCACTTTCCATCTCCATTTTCATGTGTGCAGCATATGCAATAGTTTAGCTTTGTACTCACACTCCGAGCTGATCTTGATGGTGAGCTGGAGTAACTTGAGATCACCATTTCTTTCTCCTTATGACAGTTCTGGAACATTTGGTTGACTAATTATCTTGTTACTAGTCAGCTTTTTTTTTCAATATTTGACTTTATTTATGAATGTACATGCACAAGAAGGGTCAGAGCCACACACATAAGTTACCATTTTAAACCAGAGGATTATTACACCACCATGCTTTCCCTGTGCTTGTGATAGGAAAACTACACAGGTGAGATAAAATTTCACTCATGCCCAGTACTTCACCCTGTCCATTTCTCAGTACAGACCAAACCCAAAGACTGAAATGTAAGTGTGACCAAGTGTTCCCCAGTTAATTGCAAATCTTCCCCTGATTTCAAAGGTTGATGGTCTAAACTTTAAAGCACAGAGATGATGAACCATAAGGCCCATAGTATGGGGTCTGTCTGTCTCTGTATCAGTGTCTTTGTACAGATATATACATAAATATATCAAATATACATATTTACTTACCTCTTGTGTTGAAGATAAAAGTTGTTTGCTGTATCCAAACATTAACGCATTACTTTTAAAAGCTGGACCCCATAAACAGCAGCATGTAATTTCTCCCCATAACTTAATTTCTATTTATTTTCATCAGTGCCTGGCTTAGCAGAGCTTTGCATTCTTCAGAGCTCAAAGAGAAATCCAGGCAGTGACCCCACCTCTCAGGCCTCTGCTGCAGACCCCTGCTGAAATCCTGGTGAAAAGCTACACAAGACTGAATCACAGCATCAGTGTCAACACTACATACATAGGCATTTATTCAGCCAGAGAAAATTATGTTCCCTGAAAAACTGATTGCTGGCTTCTATAGGGCTGAGTCACATTAATCTGACAGACTGCTTCCAGAAAGGGCAGCATAGCTATAAGGATGAAAAATGTCTCAATTATTTATAGTAAAAGTGTAAGTGGACATCCTGAAGGGATGTAATTTAAAAAAAGAGCTGCAGTAAGGAGGGGAGACATGCTAGATGATGACAGGTGGTTTTGTCCCAGTGGAAGGTAATTTTCTTCAGCACTTCTTGGGGGGCTCTGTGGCTTCAGGAGGACTAAAGTAGAAGAGGATGATGAGAGAGAAATACAGATCAGGTATCAAAAGGGACAAGGAAACAGGGGTAAGGCTTTGAAAGTTCACACATGGTCAGAAACCTGGAGCTAAGAAGCAGAATTCAGGAGGTAGAAAGATGAGTGTGGCGACCCAGGAGCATTGGGACTTAAAATCCATATGGGAGAAACCAGCACCTTCAGTTAAGAGGCTGACAGAAAGAAATAATTGGCAATTGAGACTGGCTGGGAGACAGGAACAGCAGTGGCTGAACCAAGTAGCCAGATATGAGGAAGGAACAGGAATGGGACACAGATGGTTAGAGGGGAGCAAGACAGAGCTAGAGAGGAGGAAAAGTTTTTTGGACACTACAGCCCATTCACTGGTCATTGCAGGGCTGAAAATGGATTATGAGGACCCTGGGTCATGATGCTGCTCTGGTCTCAGCCCCAGGAAAGGTGTCTTTTGTTCCACAGAGAAGCTGGCAGCTCATTATTACTACAAATTACCCTGTTAACTCGGAGGGCAGAAGTCCACATGGAGGAGGTAAGAGTTAACCCCAATAGCTTGAGGCATAGAGGTGTTAATATGATGCCACATAATAGGAGTTTTGTTTTTCCACTTTGCTTCATTAAGAACCTAGGAAATTACCTACAAACACTCTCTTAAGAGAAGTCTGTGAGCTGCCAAAGCAAATATGCAAAGCTAGCAAGTGCCAGAGCTGAAGTTATCTGGGCTTTTTTCCCCCTTTCACACCAATGCACTGGCAATAGAGGAAGCCATACTCTTTCCCCACAGAGGATGTGGCAGCTTTATTCAGGCTGCTCAAGATAAGTCAGGACTGTGTAGAGAGAGATTCTCAGCCCCATTATCATGTGTTTCAGAGGGAATGGTGTGTTTTGAATGAAGTTCAGGGATTGGGGAAAACACTGAACACCATTTTGCTTTAAGGTATTGAATATCAGCCTGTAGAACGGGATGCATCCCTGTCTGCTTGTGCCACAAATCTCCTGTACAACATCAGTAAATTCTGACATCAGATTTTGCACTATGGTCACTAATTGCATGTTCCCAGTTGTATGAACACCTGACTTGAGACTCTAGGGTCTGGTTTGGAAAAGAGCTGAGCACTCACAGCCCCAGCAGGACTCAGTGGGAGCTCTGCTCTGGATATCTTAAAGAATTACATAATGGTAAGTACCCCAACAAATTAGGAGTCTTAAACTGAGCACAAAAATCACTGCACTTCCCTGTTCTTCGGTTTTCCAGCTGTAAAATGAGGATAATAATTGGAGTGATCTGAAAATAAATACACATTTGTGAACTGCTTAGAGACTGCAGTCATCAAAAACAAGGGAAACAAATTAAATTAAAACTCTTTCTTAAGATCAACTGGTCAGTAGTTAATAGGGATTGGGCCGCATGTTAAACACATGGAGGAAGCAAAACAGCTAATGGCCTTTCCATAAATGAATGATACCCATCCTGAGCAGTGAATGAGCTAGGAATCCTGCGGGAAAGGCACCAAGTATGTGAAGGTGACATCACAAAAATGCATGTGGAGAGAGCATATACAGACTGCTAAGGATGGCCATCCAAACTGCTGCACCATTCATATCACAATAAAAATTAGTAATATGACTTATGTGTAAATGGAATTAGGGATAATAGACACCTTAGAATTGTCTTTTAGATTTTAGATTCTGTGATTGAAATCAAGCTAAATATTTCATGTATGTGGTATTAGCCAACTTTAATCTCACTCAAAAAAAAAAAAAAACCCAAAACCAAACCCAACAGTATGTGCATATGCTGTTACAAAAAGCTAATAGCAACTGGGTGACTGCCATATATTACCTGGCACACTGAAACTGTAAAGTCTGCTTTCACCATCAGACTGTGACTCATCATCTGGAAGTGATTTAGCTGTGTGGTTACCTTTGGACTGCTGGGGCTTTTGGCTCTTTACTAGCAAGCAAATAACCATGGAGAATAAGACTTTAGCACTATCAAGTAAACAAATAATTGGGCTGGAGATTTCAAAACCAGAGGTGAAAAGTGAATTTGAAGCTAGTCAAAACTCTGTAGTTTTTATCCTCCATGGTTGTTATTAAAAGCAGCTCTGAAATCCAGATCTCTGCTCTCCCTCACTCCCCAGCCTCCTTTTCCCTTTACTACGTGGTATGCAGGGAACATTGATTGAAATATACTTCTGCTCAGCTCTGCACAGTCCATGTCCATAAACCCAGTTTGTTTTCTGAAGTAATTTGCACAGTATAGATCTATATCCTCCTCTACATACACACACCTGTAATTTCCATCAGCATCACTAAGAGCTACTTGTACATAATGAAGGGAAAATATGTGTTACGCTGGGCACTTCACAAGAGAATCTCCAAATGGGTTCATGTTACCTCCATCTGACTGAAAAACCATGAAAATCACCTCCAATAAATTTCTATGACTGGTTCAC